CAGTAAAACCAGGCAGGATTTTTCTAGGTTTCCTTTAAACCCAACAGTACACCTAACCTAGCAAATTGGAGTAAAAACCATCATTGAACAAAGAAACTGAGTTTAAACCACTAAACAGTCAGGAACCCTGACAGTCTTACTGCATCTCTGAACACCACTATCAGCTTGATTTTCCACTTAGTATCTCTATTTCCAGTTGTGTGCCAACTGGATAACAGTTACAAAAAAACAAACAAACAAACCAACCAAAAAAAACCAACAGAAACTGTCTAACACATAGGACAACACTGTAAGACCTTGTGCATGTGTATAAACAATCCATTAAGGGAGTAGCTAAAAAGTGAAATGCTATCATCGTGTGTACTTTTCAAAACATTATGCCCACATCCACTTCATGGGTCATATCTGGCTTAGAGCTGCAATGGAAACACTTCTACTTCTTACAGAATTTCACAGAGAATTCAGTGTTTTACTCTGGAATTATTTCAGACCTGAGAGATCATCACCTGCCCTTTTAAGATAAAAAAAAAAAAGATGGAAAAAAAAAAAAAAGCTAAAAAGGCCACCTAGATTACAGTCATTTGGGAAAAAGGAAATGGAAGCTATTAAAGCAAATATAGAACTCCTCTTGAAAGAAAGTTTACATAGATCTCAGACAGAGAGTTGAAAGGTGACCTCCTCCAATGCTTGTACATAGTCCCTAAGAGCAGGTTGGGCAACTGGAAGAGCTAGAAGCTGTACTTTACAGTCTTCCAGTGGCAGAGGTCTTTCATGGCATGGTAGTTAATTTCTGCCATTCCAGGCATTAGTATTATGCTAGCACTGTTATAAACTAGGTCAACTTTAGCAAAACATTTTCAAAATGTTCTGTCTTGATTTTCTATGCTGACAGCAGAGCCACCAGATCAGGTTGGCTAGATCAACCCACGTAAAGAAACAAAACAGATTTCCATCAAGCAGAAGTTTACGAAATGCTTTGAAAGCTGAATCTTTACAAGCTTTCAGTTGCAGTACCCCTACGCATCTTGTTAGAAAAAAAAACGCCTGGCCCTTTTCTAACTAATTGTGCCTGATCTCAACAAACACCTTCAGTTCTGCACAGGTTCTGTGTTCTCTTAAACACACAATAAAATGCCTAGGAGTGCAATTTAAATGGAAATAGTTAAGCCAGTGGAAGGGTACAGAGTTTCTATTTCTGTTCAGCTTGTCACCAACCAGAGAAATTTAGGAATTGTAAAGCAGCCTGTAAGAAAGGCATGGTATGCCTCACAGTATGGACTCCTACCTGACCTGCTGCTAAAGGAAGAACCTAAAGTTCACGAGTATCCTACCAAACAACAACCAACAACCACAAATAAATAAAAACAAAAACAAAACGCAGCACACAGCAGCAAGAAGACCTGCAGCAACATATGGAGCCTGTGTCTAACTGCTCGGGCTCCATCACGGAGACCAGCTCACGCTGGAAGAGCCACACACGGGACGGAGAAGTTGGCAGGAGCCGACCCTAAGGCGCTGCCCAACTTTTCTCCCCTCGAACCCTTTGTGTTTCTGGATTCCCACCTCCTCACCCCCAAGCTGAGCTCCTCGGTGCCACGCTGGAGGACAGCCACGGAGGGCTGCCTGCAGACACCCAGCCGAAACGCGCCCGCAGGAACCTTCCAGACCCGCGGGGCCAACGAAGCGAAGGTTTCTGGGGGGCTGGCTCCTCGGGCACATGGATTTTCCTGCGGGAGGAAGGAAAGTGGCCAACACACATTTTTTTGACACCTCCAAAAAGCGCCCCAGCTGGGGCAGCAGCCGGGCACCCACCGACCACACAGGCGGGGGGGCGGCCAGGACACCCCGCACCCCTCGCTTTTTTATATCTTTTTATTATTTTTTTTTTGAGGGGGACATTTCTTTTCCTTTTAGGGACCCCCAGGGAGCGGGTGGGGGCCAAAATCAACCCTAAAAAAAAAAAAACCATAGGGGGGGGGTTCAATGCGCAGCCCCCCAAAACCCACACACACAGTGGGGGGGGGGGGGGAGGGACACGGGCGCCCCCTCCCCACCCCGCAGCGGTGCTGGGAGGCCGCAGGCCGCCCCCAACCCCTCGGGCGAAGGGGCCCGGGGGTGTTTTTGGTGTGTTTGGGGTATTTTGGGTGTGTTTTGGGGGTGCCACCCCCCCCCCACCCCCTCCAGCCCGAATTCCCCCCCCCGTCCCCACTGACCTGCCGGTGTCCGATCCCGGGTGGTGGGCGCGGGGGTGGGGGGGGGGGGTGCTGAGGGCTGTCTGTCTGTCTGTCTGTCCGGCTGTCTGTCCGGCTGTCCCCCTGCCCCACCGACCTTCCCCGGGCGCGGCAGCGAGCGAGGAGGAGGAGGAGGAGGAGGAAGATGGGGAGGGGGAGGGAAACCGGCCCCTCGTCCCCTCCCCCGTCAAACGGGAAAGGAAAAAGAAAATAAGATTTAAAAAAAATAATAATAATAATAGCGGCCGTGGGAGGGTGTTGCGGGCTGTGAATTAAAAGGCTGGGCCCGGAGTTTAAAACAAAGAGGCGGAAATCGCCGAGCGCGGCCCGAGCCCAGCCGAGCCCAGCGGGGGCGCCGCGATCAGCGCGCATGCGCGCGGGGCGCTCGGCAGGGCCCGGCGCTCGGGGCCCCCCCCCCCCCTTCCCTCTCCATCCCCTCCCCTCTCCCCTCAGCGGGGCCGCCCCGCGCCTGCGTGCGTGGCGGGGGGGGGGGGGCGGGAGGAAGATGGAGGGGGGGGCCTCTCGTGGGCAGGGGTTGTTTGTAGTGGGGTTGGGGATGGGGTTGAGGAATGTGGGGGTCTGCGTGGGGCAGGGCTGCTTGCACCAGGATGTGAAGGGGGAGAATGTGTCCTGCGCGAAGTAATGGGGGTGTGCGCAGCTCACTCTGCCTCAAGAGGAGGGGCGTGAATAGAACAGCTCCGTGAGGGTTGGAGAAGCCCTCCAGGATCACCTGGCACAACCACCCCCTACCACCAGTGTCACCCACCAAACCGTGTCCCCAGGCACCACGTCCAGCCTGTCCTTGCACACCCCCAGGGACGGTGACCCCACCACCTCCCTGTGCAACCCGTCCCAGTGCCTGACTGCTCTTTCTGAGCAGAAATGGCTCCTCACTGCCAACCTGAGCCTCCCCTGGCACAACTTGAGGCCATTCCCTCTAGTCCTATCCATTTTATCTATGAGAAGAAGCCGACCCCAGCTCCCCACCCCTTCCTTTCAGGCAGCTGCAGAGAGCAATGAGGCCTCCCCTGAGCCTCCTCCAGCCCAAACACCCCCAGCTCCCTCAGCCGCCCCTCACAGGACTTGTGCTCCAGGCCCTTGACCAGCTTCACAGCCCCTCTGACTGACTGACTGGAAAGCAAACCTGTTGGAAGCACTTTGTGGGTTCTGGGGGACAACAGGCTAAACATGAGCCACCAGTGTGCCCTGGCAGCAATGAAAAACATCCAAATCTTGTGATCCAACCAGACCAGTGCACTGGGGGAACATCATTGTTCCTTTAAATTGGCACTTGTTACAACAAGCCTGGCATACAGCCTTCAGTTTTGGGTGTATCGATATGAGAAAGTTATTGATAAACTTGTGTAAATCCAGCAAAAACACCTCCAGCATAGTAGGGGGACATTGTGATGGGACAGAAAGGAAAAAATAAATAAAGAGATCTCTGAGGATATTTAAACTTTGGAAGAGGTTTCCCAGACAGGCTGTGCACTATGCATTTTAGGAGATGTTGAAGATCAGCCTAGACAAAGCCCTGCTTAAAGGTAGAGGTTGTACCTCAGGGTGTCCCTTTCCACTTGAATGTTTCTGTAATCCAGGGATTAATTGTCAAGCAGAGAAATCAAAAAAGGCCAGGCAAATTCAGATTAACAGTATCTCAGTTGGCTAAATCACCCTGGGAAGACAGCAACTTCCTCGATCTGCTGAAGAGCAACATTGCCTTTTAGACCATGTGTGAATACGTTGGTCTAGGTGACTAATTTTGCAACAAGCTGTTGGCTGCTTTTTCCATGCTTCGCCTTTCACCTTGGCTGACATATATATATATATATTTATATCACATATATATGGAACTTTACATATAGTATGTATATATGTAAAATGTATTTTGACATCTCTTTTACACTTTTTCCACTCATATTATCATTTTTCTTCTCCACAGCCTTCTCTGAAGATGCATATCAAGAGTATAAAAAAATTCCTTATACCGACTTTTGCAAAGCTGACAGGCATTTCAACTCAAGTTTTGTTCCTGAAGATGCAAGATGCAAGTTTTTGTACATGCAAGAAAATCTAGTTATTTTACAAACTTACTTTAGAGAAATGCTTAGGAAATCTGAGTGTACTTCAAGTGTTTTAACAACACCAGAATTGTACAAGTGCTGTTTTAGCACTAAGTCAGTCATGATATTTTGGAAATAGAATCATGATTTTTAAAAAACTTGGGAAGACACCACTGGCATTTCTCACTGAATTTGTGGTGAATTTGGGGGTGCTTTCAGCCCCAAAACCTCCAATTTTCTGCTGATGACTGGAGAAATCTCTTAACAATAAAGGAAAGGTGATGAGCATTTATTGATATTCACAGACTGGTTGAGGATAGAAGAGACCTCTGGACATCATGCAGGCCAGCCTCCCTGCTATGTCTAGCTACCTACATAAACATAGCTCAGTTCCCTTCAGGGGACTGTTCTTTAAATACAAAAAGACCTACCCATATCCCTACTGTTAAATGAGGAAATTTACAATGAAAAACAAACAAACAAGCAACCAGCAACGACAACAAGTCATGCACAGTTCCTGGGAGTTCTGCATCTGGGCTGTTCCCCTCTTAGCACCGGTAGCTGCTCCAGTAAGAGGAAGGCTTTCTGCAACAATCTGCATTGTGCAGGGCAGTGTGCTGACCTTCAACTCTCACCTTAGTTAAGTTACCTCCCTGGCTGGTGCAATTCAGCAGAGGGGTTGCATTTTTTTATGACCATCAATTATCATTTGGCTGCTAACATACCAGACTACACATATACAGAACACTGGTAAGATTCCTGATTACTTACACATGTGGAAACCACTAGTATAACAACTTTAATTTCAGCAATTCAGTTTCAGGTACATTCCCAGACAACCTACGTGAAATCAAAAGCAGAGGTGGAAAGATCCGAGGTAAATACTGGAGAGAGAAGAAGGCTACAGGGGAACATGGATGTTTGGAAAAAACTTCTTCTATTATGAGCTTAACTGTTGCTGCTGTGAATTGCAGGGGTAAGGGTTTCTTAAGCATATAGGCTCCAGGCTGTTAGAATGCAGTACCACGATGTCCTTTCCCTTGGGGACTTACTTCTTTTAATCTAAGTTGCAGCCTTGATAGGAAGCTGAGATGCAAAGTGTGATGATATTACAGTGAAACTTTGCAGAATGCCATCTATTCCCTTTGATTAGCCAAGGAACCCTCTGCACAAGGCATGATTGGCTCTGTGCTGGGTCTGGCTGGGATGGAGATAACTTACTTTGCAGCGGTCCATACAGTGCTGTGCTCTGCACCTGTAGCTAGAACAGCAGTGGTATCACACCAGTGTGCTGTCTATCACTGAGCAGTGCTGGTGCAGCACCAGGGCAGCTGACCTAAACAAACCAAGGGGATATTCCATACAGTGTGGTGTCACACTCAGCAATAAAAGCTGGGAAAGGGGAAGAAGAAGGGAGGGCTCTCCTCATCAAGACATCTGCCCTCCCAGATAACCACTACATGTATTGAAGCCCTGCTTCCCAGGATGTGGCCAAACAGCACTTGCTGATGGCAAGTAGAGATTTTTTTTTTAAATCTCACTCTCTGTGCTTCCACATAGCCTTTGCTTTTTTTTTTTTTTTTTTCCTCTTCCTTTTTCCTCTATTTAAATTATCTTTATCGCAACGAGTGTTTTGTTTGTTTGTTTTCTCTTTCCAGCATACTTTCTTCTCCCCCTCTTTTCCTGAGGAGCGGGAGTGACAGAGCAGTTGCGGTGGAGTTCAGCTGCCCAGCCTAGTAAAACCTCCACAGGCTCACATCTCTTCAGGTAACCACAAGAGCTCCTCACTTCTTTTTCCAACCTTTTGCTGTGAGACCAGTGTATAAACCTGCACAGGGATGCAGCTCTGCGTCAGCTGTGTTTCCACCCTGCTGAAATTGACCTGTTGTTGCATTGTCCCATACATAGCTTGAACCATCCACACGTGTTGCCAGTCACAGTACTGAATTTAGGCCAGTGTGCAATTCATGGTCCATCTGCTACCCCAAGTCATTTTCTGAATATGATCAGTTCTCACCCTAGTTCTGCCAAACGGAGAAAGCAGGAGTCTATCTCATATATTGGCTATCCACTGCTGACCAAAACCAACCTAGCAAAGGGCTTCACCTTCTTCCAACATTTGCATTTTTTTTCCTAAGACCATCCAAGGAAAGAAGGAGGTTCATTTATCTTCCAACTCAGGTATACAGCCTTCATATATTTTTAAGACTTTTTTTTTCCTGCTGTATACATGTTGTAATAGACAAAATGTTCCTTTACACAAAGTGTTCCATGTAAGCTGTATGTTTATACTAAAAGTACTTACACTTAGGGTTTTATAGTAAACCACTGATTTAAGTCAGGCATTCTCACCAGTCACTTCTTGTTCACTCATCTTTAACACCTCTATGTTTTCTGACTGAAATTTCAGGCATCAGTTCCTAAAAGAGTTGCATTGTCTAAGAAGGGTAGGAGAGGCAAGAGACACACTCAGATACCTGGTTCTCCCCTGTAGCACACTTGTTTCCCAGGATGGTGTATCGGGGATCCTGTTCATGTTTCCCTTTAGACATCAGGCATAGTGCAAGCAGGCATGCAGTGCATGGTGTGTTTCAGTAGGGTCATGTACAGGAGAGAAGAATTCAGACAGCACTGTTCAGCTGGAATGCACCACCCTAAGTGCAGGAGAAGGCAGTACATCAGTCTGAATGTCATATGGGAATTTCCCAAGTGATTGAATACCTACCATCGTTGGCCAACAAAGATCAGACAGGACGAGAGGGAGGGAGGGAGGAAGGGAGAACAAGTGTACGCACAGGTGACTCACCTGGGAATGTTGATCCTGCCCGTTTGCATTTCAGGCTGAGCCTCTCTTTGGGAGCCTTGATGAGCTCCAGGAGCTGTCTGTAGGGCAAATGAGTGTCTGGGCTGTCTGAAGTCTGTATGAAATGTCTCAGTGCTGATGCAGGTAGCATGGGGAATAAACAAGAGGCGTTAGAGACGTACGCACACCTTCAGGTCTATGACCTTGCTGGCATTGCAGAGGTGTGGTGGGATGGCTCCTGTGACTGGAGCGTTGGAATGGAAAGGTACAGGCTCTTTAGGAAGGACAGGCAGGGGAGATGAGGGGGAGGCATCGCCCTCTATGCCAGTGAGCAGCTGGAGTGCATGGAGCTCTGCGTGAGGATGGGTGAGGAGCTTATGGGCTCCTTTTGTTAAAAAAAAAAAAATCATTTTATTTTATTTTATTAAAGGCAGGGGCAGGTGAGGTTACAGTGTGGGGCTGCTGCAGGCCACCCAACCAAGAAGACTGAGTGGATGAGGCCCTCTATAGACAGACACAAGCAGACTCGATGTTCACAAGCCCTGGTCTTCACGAGGGATTTCAACCACCCTGATGTCTGTAGGAGGGACAGCACAGCAGGGCATAGGCTGGTTCCTGGAACAAAGGAGGTTCCTGGAATGCACTGATGACAGCTTCCTTCTCCAAGTGACAGAGAAGCCAACAAGAAGAGATGCTGTGCTGAAACTCATTTTCACCAACAAGGAGGGAGGGAGCACGGCAGGCTAGCTACCCTGGACTTTGGGAGAGCAGGCTTTGCCCTCTTCAGGGATCTGCTTTGTCTTCTTCAGGGGTTGAGTACCACGTGTCAAAGCTCTGGTGGGAAGAAGGGCCCAGGAAAGCTGGTTAATATTCAAGGATCACATCCTTCAAACTCAGGAGCAATGCGTCCCAGCAAAGAGGAATTCAGGCAAAAACACCAGGAGGCCTGCATGGAGCTCCTGCCAAACTCAAACAGAAAAAGGAGGCCTAAGAGGGTGGAAACAAGTAATAAAGCTAAAGCTTTATTAGAATTTCATTTGGCCAGGGACATCAAGGGCAACAAGAAAGGGTTCTGTAGGTACGTTGGTGATAAAAGGAAGATAAGGGAAACTGTGGGCCCTCTCCAGAAGGAAATGGGAGACATGGTCACCTGGGATATGGAGAAGGCTGAGGTACTCAGTGACTTTTTTTGCCTCAATCTCCACTGGTAAGAGCTCTAGCCCTACAGCCCAGGCACCAGAAGGCAACGGCAAGGACTGGGAGACTGACGAACTGGCCAGTGTAGGAGAAGATCAGGTCTGAGACCACCTATGGAACCTGAAGGTGCACAAGTCCCTGGGACTTGACAAAAAGCATAAACCTCATTTCACAGTGTATAAAAGGGGTATCACCTGTGAGTCGGTGTTACAGGTTTTCCACATTGTTAAGACTATTGATCAAGTGTCATACTAGAAAAAAAGAAATGAGAGGAAGTGCAGGAGAATAAACAGTTCTAGAAAAGAGGACCTAAAATGACATGGGGAGCTTGGGTTTAGTCTAAATGAGGGAGAAACATCAGAAATAGATTAAAGTTTTGAGGTATTTGGGTGGATATTTTTCCAGTGTCCAATGTGGATATATATCTGTGGGATATAATCTCCACAGATTCTCTATCGTGGAAGACTAAGAAGAGGCTAAGCAAGCATCTACCAGGGACTGAAGGTTCACAACAAACACATCCATAAATCCAGCTGAATCTGCCTTGGAGGGGTGCACGGTGTGAGGGAAGGAACAAACAAACAAGCAAGCAAGCAAACTAGCCAAGCAAGAAGACAAACAAATAAACAGCAGCAGCAACACCAACAACAAAAACAACTAGAAGGCCTCCTTGCAATTTCTTTGACTCTCTTTTTTAATTATTATTATTTTATTATTTTTTTTTCTTTTTTTTTTTTTTACTTTTATTTCCGAGAAACTACCTTCCAGCACATCCTGTAAGAAACTGTCCTGATTCAAAAGGGCCTTCAACAAGACTTCATCTTAAGTGAACTTCATGTAACCACCAGTTGCTTCTGTATAGATTTCCAATACAGGAACTGTTTACCAAACATTTGGAGCTATATTTTTACAGTAACCATAGCCTTCACTCCTGGAATTAAAATAATTTCAGTGAACCATTCAAACCAGTTAGCCTGCAGATACTTCTTAGTAAACCACAGACATAATCTCTAGAAGCTCCCAATCAAGTCCATTTCTTCCTGAAAATGCGGCAGCTATGTTTGATTTTTGCATTCTGATTTACTTTTGCAAGTGTCTAATTTTAGCTTCATATTTAGTGTGATCAGGTCCCACTGGAATTTTCCTTGCTCCGGGGTGAATCACTGCACTGTAGAGGGATTAGCATGTATAGTGCTCCTCTGCTTTTCTTCTACAGTTTTTCTTTCTCTCATTCTGCATTCATCTGATTATCTAATTCCAGTTGTACCTTCTTACTGTATTCTTTATCTTCTGGATGGTACTCCATTTATATAGACAAACTTGTTTCAGTTTCTTAATACAGTCTTTTAATGTACAGTTTTCAGATCAGAATGGCTTTTCTCTTATTACATTGGCTCAGTCAGCCCAAAACATTTTTGCTGCTTCCTATAATAGTCCCACTAACACAGGGTCTGTATCCCCAAGTTTCAATCAATTTTCTCCACATTAACTAGAGAACACTTGCTTTATATCATCTATTGTCTTGTGGGCACATGCTGCCTTCCATGGAAAGATGCCTATAGCTCATGCAGTGATCTCCAGCATGGATGGGGGCTTCCAGTGGCCCCTTGGAAGGCTCCTTTTTAGGCTTTTGCTGAGCGTCCTTACACTTTCACTGAGCTTTCAGTTTCTCTGCAAGGTTTCCCTGCAGTATTTTTCACGATGGTATTACAAGAGATTTATCTATTGTCTTGCAAGTATCCAGCCAATGCCCTGTATGCAATCTGAAAGCATCCTCCCTAGTAAGTAAACTGTCCTGATAACTCACCCAGGCTGAGCTGGCCATGCAGTCAGGATTTGCAAACAAGTGTTTTAGGACCAGCTTTGTTGTGGCAGAAGGAATGTGGGGACATCCTGATGACATCCTAAAGCTTATCGGAATTAATGTCAATAGCAGAAAAGTTTCTGCTGAGGTACAAGAAGGGAAGTGTTTCAAGTGCTGCTGCAGTCTTTGAGGCGAAGCGTGGTGTTCTAGGAATCAGCAGAGACGCAGAGGGAGAAAAGGAAGCTCAAGAAGAGACAGTTGCCACCACCAATGGACCTCAAGAATTCATCATATTGAGGTGGCAGTCATGCTTATTTCTCAGCCTGTTACAGCAGCAGGCTGTATTTGGAGGAAAAACAGGATGTCTAAAACCAGTTTGTTAGTCACCTGGACTTATCAAGTACCCACTTCTAGCAAGCATCTTTTAACCTTTTTTATGTTTTATGTTTTACCTCAGGTTAACTAATGTACCTCTGTGAAAAATAGCTCTGCCTTCCCTCAGTGAAGACAAAGCACTACAGCTTGTTGCAAGGCAATTTCTTTCTGTTTTATCTTGGTGGTCCCATATCACAGGGAAACTGAAGTGCACTCCCTGCCTCTGGAGTGTTTAGATTGGAATAGTTTGTGCTTACTGTTTTACCTGAGAAAGAGAGAGAGATGGAGACCAGATGAAAGCAGATACATATAAAGGTGAATATAAGCCCTCAAAGAGGCTATTTCTTTGTTGACGGATGTTGATGTTTTGAAGCCAGTATTTCTACAGGAGAACTGTCAAAGGCAATTTTAGACATCTCAGGGCAAGGAAGATCTCTTGTAGATACTCACACTGAGGGTGTCTGGATCGTACTACTCTTTGTTACCACAGAACCTAGTCACAAGTCTTCACCTGGTTCCCCCACCTCCCCATCATCTGCTACTGTGTGGCAGATGGAAACGGCATTTTTCACTTTTTCTTTAAGAAAAATATTAACTGAAAACACAGGGACAAGTGGGAGGTAATTAAGGACAGGATCCAGTCATCCCATGATCATATTTGCAACATATGGTCCTGCAGAGTTTGAGCCTTCCCCAGTCATTTATGGGCTTCGGGGACTTGGCAAGGAAGGCAGGGAGAAAGAGGAAACCGTCACCCCCAGCACAAGCAGGGAGAAGTCGGCACTGTTTTGTTGTTTTGTCTTCAGAGATGAGACAGCTCTTATGTTTGGGAGCCTGCGGTTGCTGAGTCAAGTAGAGTCCAGCTGCCATGTACCCAGCAGGAAGAGGACAATCTCTGGCAGCGAAAGAAACAATAGATCAGCAATTAAGGCACACCCAAACTGAAATCTCAATGTTTCCACAGATCTCCTGTGTCATTCTGGATATACTGCTTCTTCGGTGCCTCTGCCTCCCAGCCAGATCATGGGAAGGAAGAATGACTGATCCTTCATTCAGCCTGCCTGAGGGGTCCATGTTGATCTGATCACAGTTTTCCAAGCTTTCCTGAGGTATGAGTGAAACAGCACGAGGGAGAAGGCTGCAGACTGTTGGGGCAGAGTACTGCACTGAAATGGTTTGCCATTAAATAGAATATCCCACCTCCAGATTGAGCCCTGCCAGTCAAATCAGCATCACTCTCTAGCACGCCATTTTTTGTCCTAGGAAATATTTTGAAGGTGCTTCAATTTTTATGACTCAGCGAAGTTTAGAAAACTAAGGGCCATGGTGTCTGACCATCCTTCAGATTTTGCAAGGTTGTTGGGCAGATAAGTGGGAGCCAGGATTCCAGCTATGCCTTCAAAACATTGTCATGAATAATTGCCCCTCTAAGACGAAGAATGGTTGGCAGGAGCATCAAAAATTATTTCTTTCTGAGCTCAGACAAGAGGTAGAAATTGCACCAGCTTAACATTTGACAGACCAGGAAGTGACTTCTAATTTTCTCATAAGTCAGAAAGTGCTTCTCCCTGTGGAAAACATGGAAAAGCAGAAAACAGCTGACTGCCACAAGGAATACCACGTATTGACAATCCCATCTACCACCTAATCTACCAAAAAAAAAAAAAAAAAACCAGAAGCGAAGAATAAAAAGAGAATAAAAGTTAGTTGTTTTTAAGAATTGTTTTTAAAATATATTTTAGATACAGTAGTCTGATTTTCAAGATGGTACCATTTTAGCTCCTTTTTATACCCGCTGAACTCTTTACTTAACAGTATTACTTCAAACATTTAAGTACATAACGAAAAATAACATTTCTGTCTGTATCTAGGAAACAAGGATGGCTCAAGGTTATGCATAACCACACAAAAGTTTTTAAAAAAATTGTTGTTCTCCCAACAGAGGGCTCCAACTGTACTACGCGTAGGTACCTACTCACAACTTGTGGGAGCAGTGCACATGGCCCACCTACTAAACAGCTTTCTACTTGAGGTTAGTACAGTCAGAAACTGTGGGCTTCTCGCTCGGCCACCCTAGCTGAGGAGGAAATCACCTCTGCTAGAGCAGCGCAGCAGTCACCTGGAAGGCGGGGGTGGCCACCATTTCCTCCGCGTACACCCATGGCCGGACACCCACACGTTTGCCACCGCTTGCAGAATCTTGCCCTAGGCAGAGCCATCTGTGCTGTTTGCTTGTTCATGTCAGCCCTGCAGAGATACCACTCAAGGCAACGAAAATCTTTGCAGGTTTTGCGTTTAAATTATTGAGCACGTTTAAATGAATTATTGAGTACATTTTCTGTCTGCACTGCTGGAAGTAGAGGTTCCCACACCGAAGTCGTGGACAGGTGGCCTGCACTCGCTGAACACAAAAAGGCAATGTTATAAACCAGGCCAAGCACCCTGTTAGGTAATACACACCTTGAAAAAAACACCACACTTAGCTTCTTCAAACTCATATCAAACATTTCTCATCAAAACAATGAGCAGATAGATCAGGATGCAAAACTTGAAATGGCTCGGGTGGGCCTCTCCTGGGAAGGTCAGGGTGAAGTGTTTGTTGCTTGATAGGCCCACAGAACATCAGGACATCCAGGGAGAGATGCAATGTAGGGGTGAACTCATGATCAAGTGGTGGACCTGACAGTTCAGACCATGACACAGGTTATCCATGAACATAAAACATGCTGCAGTCAAAAAAGCTGTGTGAGTACAATCTCCACCAGGTGGCTGGAAACATACCTGGCAGACGAAGCAACTGCCTGAAATGCCATCTCGGGCCTTGAAAAGTGAACTTTGTGGTGTCATGGTACCCAAAGGAGAATTCAGAGAATTCAGATATTTTATTTGTTTTAATCTTTCTTTCTCTCTCTCTCTCTTTCTTTCTCTCTTTCTTTCTTTCTTTCTTTCTTTCTTTCTTTCTTTCTTTCTTTCTTTCTTTCTTTCTATCTATCTATCTATCTATCTATCTATCTATCTATCTGATGTGTGCGTGTGTTTGTGCATGTGTTTGTGTGGTTGGTTGGTTGATTTTATTTTATTCATCTTTTTCGCTTTCATTAAACTGCCACTATTCTCAGCCTTGCAAGATTTTTTTTTTTTTCCTGCCTCCCAAACCACTGCACCCACATGTACTCTATCCGACATATATGCTCCTCAAGTGTGCTTCAACTTCAGGCTTAAAAGCATTAGTTCAGAGCCAGCACTTGCTGCTCTTGAATGTGAGCATAATAGTTTGCAGACATGTTAGGTCACCAGTCAGATGCTATATGTTATTGGCATCTTTCATGAAATCTTTCTGAAATATTCCTGACCAGATCATAAGTTGTTCTTTTTCATTGTCTTTGAGGGACAGATCTCTTTCAATTAATACATTTCAGGTTGAACAAGCAAGTCCATTTTTGTGAGGTTTTGTGCTTCAAGACCCCAGACCAGGCTTTGCAGTACTGCAAATGGAATTGCTGTTCTGGCTGAACAGAAAAGGACTGTCTTGGAGACTGTAGGTGGGCTTCCCTTTAGAACTGGATGGGTTATCGTCCTTAGGACAAGGAGAGAAATCTAAATAATTTGTAATGCCTCAACTGTGAGATATTACATTACGTAAAACACTAAATATTTCCCCAGATGAGAGGGGAGAGACCCAAGGCTGATCAGCAAGAGGTGTACCTGTTAATATATGTATCTCCAAACCTTCAAGTTGCTGAAGAAATTTATCCAGACCCATCCACTGCATACCCTAGGCAACCTGGACAAGCTGGCACAACCACAAGACTTGTGCTTCAGTGACAGTTTATTTATTAATGACTATGCAGACAAGCATCGGTTTCCACTGACACCCATGAGGAGCTTTTCGGGGAGGCTGAAGTCCACAAAGCCCGCTGCCAAACCAGGCAGAGGGTTGAGAGGGAACAGAAACTGTCTGAAAATGGATTCTGAGCCACTAACAGCCTCAGCTGACATCCCCCTGTCTCAAAAAACAGATCTGGAAACTGGAGTTCTGGAAGCTAGCATATAAACTACAGCCTAAGAACAGACATTCAATCTGCTTAACAAGGTGGAAGATAGGCTGTGGAAAAGACTCACAGATCATTATGTTCAAGGGTTTGGCAACCACTGAACAGAATACACAGCAAGAACTTTTCATCACCTGTGGCCAAGTGAGCTCTTGGAATCAGGTCTGCACCAAACAAGACGCAATGCCCAAATTCTCATTTACTGCATCAAACTTCCCTTTCTCCTCCAACACAGAATCTCAGTGTCTTCTTGCCACTTTTCCTGGCATCAAAATCATTTTGGCTAGAAAGATGCTGCAAGGAGTCTTGCCTCTCCCCAGCAGGGCAAGCTAATTGGTGCAATGTTTCATTTCAGCATAGACCTTGATGCATTGCCTTGTGTTCTGTAATGGCACCAAGGGACTAGCCAAGCGAACGCGTGCAGAACTCACAAGACAGGAGTTCAAAGCAACAAGCTTGTTTTCAGGGATGAGCAAACCAAGTTTCTTTTGCCTAGAATATTTGTTTTTCCTTGTTTGTAGTGTGGATGTGCTGTGATAACTCTTTGCCCTAGAGGCTGGCATAGAGCTAGGTCACCTCACTGATGCTAAAGAACCATTAAATATATCTGTGGTATAGACAAGGCAGAAGATTGACAGTTTCACCCCTTTCCCTAAGGTAATCCAGCCTAGTCATGACCAGAATGAGACTGTCATCCCAGGGTGCTGTCAGCTTGCCCATAATTACTTTCTCTAGACAGAGCAGTCAGTATCAACCAGGTTTTTCCATACATGCCACCTCCTCTAGTGGCCAGGAAAAAGGCTGTGATGCCTTTTCCTTTGTGCTCGTTTGTTAGTGTCCCTGGGCACGGTAAGGTGTCCAGGGGAGCAGGAGCAAGTTAAGCAAGAGTTGTGAACATGGGATTGCAAGGAGTAGACGGTAAGCAGAGAGGGGAAGTGTAGGGGGAGTTTGTGTCGAAGGAAGAGAGGAGGCAAAGGTGAAGTTCAAAACATTTTGTAAAGCAGCTGGTTCCTGGATGTGCTAGGGCAGAGAACTAACAGGGGGAGAGAGTCCACATACAGACGTACCCAGGTGGTTAGAATGGCACTGTGGTGAGGTGCCACAGCCCAAACAGAAAGTCAGCCACCAGGCAGTACAGTGGCAGAAAGCACAGGGGTCACGGGAAGAAATAGTGCTGAGCAAAGTGGGGAGGACAGCTACAGTGAAGGAAAAAAACAGGATTGCAGAGAGCTCACAATGGAGCTGGGGAAGGTGAAATGCCAGTGATGAGCTCCCTCCTCCTCACAGTTTTCCCTGCTCCACGTGGGCTCCTCTCCACGGGCTGCAGCTCCGGCCCGAGGCCTGCTCCTGCGGGGGCTCTCCATGGGCTGCAGCCTCCTCCAGGCCACATCCACCTGCTCCAGCGGGGGCTCCTCCACCCATGGGGGGGCTGCAGCGTGGAGATCTGCTCCATGGGGGACCCATGGGCTGCAGGGGGACAGCCTGCTCCACCAGGGGCCTCTCCCTGCACAGCCCGCAGGGGAACTGCTGCTGCCTGCCTGCAGCACCTCCTGCCCTCCTGCGGCCCTTCTCTTGGGAGCTACAGGGCTGGTCCTCATTCATTTCTCACTCCTCTATCTCCCAGCAGTCCCATGGCATTTTTTACTCATTCTTAAATACGTTACCACAGAGGTGCCAATGAGCACCACTGATGAGCTCAGCTATACATCTGAGATGGGGATGGCCCCATGTCTCTTCTCACCCTGGCAGCCGCAAGCTACCAAAACCTTGCTACATACACCCAAGTGAAGAACTCTGTAGGTTGAATCCAGGATTCTCCTTGGGGAAGTAAGGACATTTGTGAACTGGAAAGAGGTGAAGAGGAGTGGTCATGCACAAAGGAATGGGCTTTGCAGAAAGAGTGAAGGGAGATGTGCACACTGGAATCCATGAGACGAAGTAGGAAAATGAAAAGATAGACGCTGGTTTAAAAAGAACAATAAATTAAAACTAAGGGAGTTTTTAATTAATACTTAATTAATTATTAATACTAAGGGAGGGAATATTAATAATTAATACTAATTAATACTAAGGGAGGGAATATTGCAGAGAAGAGGGGAAAGAGTTAATATAGTCTGTTTTGTAAGTCTGTGGGAGGGAAAAAAGGAAGGAACAGAGAAGATGGAGGAGACAGTGTATGAGGTTTGAATTTGCTTTTAAAGTTTTAGAGAAAATGTAATACCTATACATAAAAGTTTGTTCCCCATTTATCACCTTCAGGCATTGGTACAACAAACACACCCCTTTCTTGCACTCAGCTTGAAACAATTAGTAGGCAAAATGAGGTGACTGGTCCTGCTTCCGCTTGGCTAGGTCCCAGAAGGTTATGTGGCAAAGGCGCAAGGTTATGTTCCCTGACCTAAAACTACCTGGCCTGTGGGATTTGGATTGTATTTCCAGGCTGACCCTAGCTCATTGCTTTCTCTTCTACTTTCCAAGCAGGAACTGCACTAAGGTACAGCTGGACTTTCTTCTAAAAGACATCCACTATAAAGCCCGGGGATTTCTGTGTTGAATCTCTTTCCAGATTTCCTTTGAACAGCTTCAGTTAAGAAATCTGCAGGTTAGGACACACAGCTAGTCTTTGCCCAACTCTGTGTGCAAAGCCCCGCAGTACTTTCAGGTTTATGACTAAGATAACTTTTCAACAGTAGTTTGTATTGGAGAATCGTCAGGCTTGTATAAGGTTTGTTATCTGCCTCTTCTTAGTCCCCTTTACCCCTGCAATACCTGTCCTGCTCTGCAACAGCACCCAGGGATGGAGAACTATTTACAGCAAAGCTATAAAAAAAAGAAATAAATCAAGTGTCTTAGTGGAAAAAAAATGCAACGTATTCCCCTGGAGGTCTGTAACTGTGTCTCTAGAAACTCTCTTGTAGAGCCCACGTGCAGGAGGAGAACTCTCCTCCCACCAACTCCTTCTCAAGAGGTCTGCAGTAATGCGGTGTCCCCCTGGTGCAGCCACAAGCTGCCACAGGCCACAGCTTTATTGATGAATTTTATGGAGGTTGGGCAAGGATTGCGAAGATTTTGGGAAGGGAAAGAGAGGACAAGGACTGTTTGCATAAGCTGTGTTTCTTAGGAAACAAGGATCAAAACGAGAGGACTATGGCTTAATGTGAACCATACAATTTATTTCAATCAGGCATTCCCATAAAGGAGCAAATCTGAATCATGGCTTTGTGGCACACAGAGCAGTCATCTGCTGATTAACAACCCCCTCCCCCTCTCCTCTCCCCCCCAGGTTAATGAGTCAGCCAAATCACCCACGTTATGAAAGCCATGGATAAAATTTAGAAGTGCTGTCATTTTCCTTGAGGAAAAGGCAGTGCTGATGAGTGAATCTTAGTCTGCTGAGGTCCCCAGTCATGGGCAGGAACATATTTATCTCTTCTGTGAACTCTGGAGAAGATGTTATTCACTGCTGACTAATGATTTGGGGTGTTTCGAAGAGGTGTAGTAGAGGAAGTATTGCATGCTCATTCCGAAAATCAAGCATCTGGTTTTGGTTTCTTAAAACAATACCTTTAGTCCTCTTTAAAATATTTTGCTCTCTCTCTCTCTCTCTCTTTTTTTTTTTTTCTTTTTAATGAGAAGAAAAATCGAGTTAGCAATTTCCAGCCTTAAACCCCATTTTACTTTCCCTAAAGATTTTTGACTTGAAAGAAGTGATGTTTCCTGAGAATGTAGAATGCTTTGGCTACATGAATAAGACCATTCTATAGTTATTCTATAGCACCAATCATTTTATTCACCTGCTTTGAAAGTTTGGATTTCTGCTGAACAGTTTTCTGCCTTCTTCAAACCTTATAAGCTGGCTTATTAACACTGTTTTAAT